AGTGCTAGGGCTTTATACCCCCCTAGCCAGTGCTTAGCATTGGTAACCCATTCTATCTTTTTTATGAAGATCATACAAGTTGAACACCAGAGTTCACTAATTAGAGGGGATGTCTGGATACTGTTGAACATGCAGTGCATTATTTTGGCCAAAATTTACCATTTCTATCCTGAATAAATCAGACGATCACAAAAATGCAACAACAAGCTTTCTCTAAATTTCCAAAGATGGTGGTTGGTGATGCAGAAAGTGAAGTGTTTTTAAATGTAGATTACTTCATTTAATGTGCAGTGTTTTCCTTTTATTTTGTCACAGAACTATAAAAGTGCTATTTAATTATACTTTTATTCATGTTGATGGACAGTTCTTAGTACACTGAAAGTTTTTTTAGATCAGCTAGTGAGCCCTGTCACCAGACTATTGTTTCATATAGCCAGCTAGCTAACTAACCTGGGCCCGGTTTCCCAAAACATCTTAAGCTGCTTTTCCACTGCATGGTACCGGCTCAACTCTACTCGACTCTACTTAACTGTACTCGCTTTTGGCACCAGCTACTTCGTGTTCCACTGCAGATATAGTACCCCCTCAATGTAGCTGGTCGTCATAGCGATGCCACGTGAAACTGGCATGAAGGAGACACATTTTGGGAAATACTACATCAGAGGTCACAACAAGACGATTCTTGTTGCTACAAAGGCGACCCAAGAGGGTATGCTAACCTGGTAGCTAACGTTAGCATATGTATTTAGAGTGACGATTATCTCTGAACAATCAGTTCTCTGCAGTTTTTCCATGTCACCTTTTGGTATCGGCTCAGCTTGCTTGGAACCTAAATGGAGTTGATACCAAAAAGAGTACCAGGTACCAGGTTTGCTTAATGAAAAGCCAAAAAAGAGTAAGCAGAGCCAGTACTATGCAGTGGAAAAGCAGATTTAGTGTTACAATCATCTTAAGACATAAAGAGTGTGTTAAGTTTGATACTTGTTTTACTATTCAAGTATGAACTCTGTGCTAAGATGCTTTTTTGGGAAACCCAGCCCTGTTCATTCACACCAGTAAAGAGTCTGAATTCTTCTGTTTGTGCCATTTATGAGATTTTTCGGGAGGATTTTCACTCAACTTTTTCCCCATTTCAGTCATGGCCAGTTTCATTCAGTACCTGCTAGTTCTCCCTATCACAAGATGCTACCTAGGTGAAAGGGTACAGGCTAGTCACTGCCGCTTTTCATACTGCTGCAAATGCAACTTATTGGACAGCTCCACAAGCTTGGAGGAGAATGCTAACTGCCCATTCTGTTATGTCAGCTAACAGATGCCTGCATTGGCTAGCATTGCACTGTGTGATGGGCTCTACTCACGATCTCTCATTGACAGGGCAAATGCTACAATGGATGCAGCACTCAGAAGCCCAACATATTAACATCTCACAGATTCATTCGGGAGCAGAATAAGCCCTCAGCAAACACACAGCTTCCACCTTCAACATCTATCTTGGTGATAGCATCTCTCCGTATGAATACAGTGATTATTATGTAGCTGTTAAAATGCCATTAGCATGCGCATCAGTGTTGCATGTAGAGTAGGAACGCAGATGGTGGTGTATTAAATTGCCATTAGCCAGCGTTAAATGAGAAGAAAAGTGAAATGAGAAATGGGTTTGAATTAGAGACATTCACACTGCATGATCTTTAAAAACAAAACATATCAGTGAGGACGGTTGTATATGCAGTTACTAGCCTTTAGGTTTGTAATCAGGGAGAATCAGATGCTCCGCCCACACGTTGAGCGCATGCCTGATTTTTTTTGTACATTAAACTGGCCACACCTCTTTAGATTTTGTCATTTTCTTTTTGATTGGCTGTCCACACACTTCTGTGCAATGGGTTGCGTCTGTCTGATTGGATTACAAGCACTCGCCAGCTCTGCACACTGTGACTGAGCCTTTCAGAGCAAGATAGTCATGGCAGAAAAGAACATGTCATGTATGGTTCTACATAGAACTTTTTTTGAATCTGGTTCTATATCGCATCAACTGTTACAATATTCTGATGCTATAGTTACAATATCAAACTTGTAACAATAGGAGAACCCTTTTATGGCGCTATATAGAGAAAGCTTCTACATAGAACCCTACACAACAGATTCTCAATCAATCTGAATGACCATTTCCCATGCAAAGAACCATTTGAGCATGCAAAAATGCATTGCTTTTACTGAAGAACCTTTTTTAAAGTTTGCAGTCAATCTGTAACAGTTAATACATTGCCAACAGTTACTTGTGTTCATTTTTCTAGATAATAGTATGTTACATCATTTCAGAAACCACATAAGCACATCTTAAGACTGCTTAACAACTCAAGATGGTTTGAGGGAAGAGTGATAATGCAGGTATGCAAGTGTTGATCAGTGAGCTATACCAGAGATGTTGTAAAGGAATAAGACCAGTAACTGGTTGAAATATGACAGGGAAAGCTAATAACACTCAACATGGCATTTGTTTATGGAGAAAGTATCATCCCTCAAAAAAAAAGAGCCAATCAGCTTACTGGTTAAGCTGCTAGTGGGAAAAGCTTCCCCTCTTTGTAGAAATATGTGCATGTGCAGTAGCCAAAAATTAGATTTTTTTTGTGTGTTATTTGAGCCAAACGCTATAAACAATTTCTGCTGTTATTGTCAGATTTTTTTCAGTGATTTCCAACGTTCATGTGGCTTTTAGTTTCAATTTTCTAGGTCTGTCCCCATTCATAAGGATAGAAGCCTGGTATGACTGGAAATAACTGCCCAGGGGCATTGTCAAGATGGCTGTTGAGTGGACAGACTTTAGGACTTTGGCTATACACTTCTATTACTTTTTGGCCACATTAGTCTTGTAGATTAGAAATGTAGTCTTCACTGATCGACTACATTTACGGTAAAACCATCAGTTAGATATTTTGCCAACTCATTACTTTAAAGACTATGTATGGACCCAAGACAGACTTTGTAGGGCATGCAGAGGGAGAGAGGGTCAGCAGAGTGGGGCGGTGTAGCAGGGGTCAGTGCTCCATGTCCAGGTCTCTGTGGCCAGGCAAGTAGTATATGGCTGCAGATGCCACTCTCATGGCTCTTTCAGTTTAATGTAAGTGCAGATGTGAACATTGCACTCCTCTTGCCTTTGTTTTTAATAATCATTGATAAGATAGTTCTTACAATAAAATGGTCCTGCATTAAACTTTTGTGGCTAACACAGTTTGATAGCTAACGAATGTAAAGCTATCATTAGCTAGCAGTAACATCAGCCAATGGTAACTTAATTTTAGAATTAGCTAGATATCATCTGGATATTTGCTTCTAACAACACGATTGTGTTCTTTTTTGACATATTTTGTCATGAATGTAACTGCCTATACAAAAACAATGAGACATTTCAAATGTACTACAATGTATTAAGGATATATTTTTTAAATATATTGACAATATAAAACCATATACTTTTAGTAGTTTTACTTTTTATTAGCTAGACAACTGCATGATAGACAATGTTAATCTTGCTAATCAGAGGGGGACCATCAGGGCCTTTTAGGCCTTCAGAAAAGGCCTAATGATTTCTGGATACTAAAAATATGTATTTTTTATTTATTAAATTCATGCTCATATTTAAACTCTGCAATCATAACAGTACTTCTCTTGTTTCATTGTAAATAGTTAATTTCTTCAAATTTCCAGCAGAAAATTGGCCAAACAGGATAGTTTTTCTCCATAGTATCTAGGTAAAGCTAAGCGAGCTCTTCTGTTGGTTATGATGTCAAGAATTGAAGGGAAGGCCAAACATGTTGGATTAACTATCAGCGTAATTACAAAGTTACAGAGGAATCAACCAATCATGTTTTGATTTTCTTTGCAGCACCAATTTAGGGAGAAAAAATGACTTCTGGAAGTCCTAGATACATCGCAGACTGAGTATATATGCTAATATATCTATTACAAGCCTTAAGTAAAACTTGGAATGACTTTTAGAATCATCAAATGTTTATGTTTTATCTAGAACTGCCTTTCCAGTTCCAGTTGTCCCACCTTAAACAGTGCAGTAGTTACATTCTGGTGCCTGTGAATTTTCCATTCCACCTTTAATGCTGAAGCAGCTACATTCCATTACCTAAATGCAGCACAATGCAACTGCTGCACCATTTAAAGTGGAACATAAAATTCAAATAAGAACTTTAGCCTCATCAGAAAATGTTCATGCAAATCACCATTAGCTTAGTGCCAAACTACTGGAATCCTATAGATATATGCTAGATATATGCTAGTAGAAGTTAGCATTATCATTGAGATAAGTTTTTTCCTTGTGCTTTTATCGGGTTTTGGCCCAAACTGAAGGTCTAACTCTGATAGTCACGGTTTGCCACTGTAGGTAATATTAGCTAAGACTATTTATATTAAACTTAATATATCATATTATGACTACATTAAATACAAGTACTAACTCTCATAAACTGAGTTGCCACTTTTATAGGCTAACTTACATTCATTGGGCATTTTCTCAAAAACACCTACCAAAAAAGTGCATTTTGTAGGTCTACAATTATTGACTGTAGCTCAGGGATGCGGAAAGTGGAGGTCCTGAGGGGGCTAGAGCATCCCCAGATTTCAGAATTGTTTTAACAGAACCAATAAAAAGACAAAACAGACTTTTTAAATAATTTCATTGTAGTTAAAACTTATATGTGCTTGTTTTAGGGTGGAGTTTTTTTTTAAAATTTTAATTAATTAATTAATTTAATTATCTACTGCTTTTTGAATAAATACTTTTTCCATCATTGTAATTATCTCATGCTCAGTATCTCATTATATTGTGCTTAATGTCAATATTGTTTATCATTCTTCATTTTCTGTGGTGTCCATTTTGAGCATGAGTAAAGGAGGAAGGTTGAGAGTGGAACCTCAAGCCATATCATACTCGGCCAGGCAGGGATGGACGACAGGGACAGGGAGGACGAATGGAATGCAGAAGCACCTACTTAAGCTGGTGAGAGAAGAGTATTTACTTAGGTCAGCTTTAACGGCCATCTCGTAGGAAGGCGGGAGGTGTGTGAGGTTCTGGAAGGAGCGAGAGAATGACAGGTCGTACGGTTCCGTCTGCGAGGTCAGGATGTTGTTCATTCGAGGCTTTTCTAGAGGGAGGGAGAGAGAGAGAGAGAGAGAGAGAGAGAGAGAGAGAGAGAGAGAGAGAGAGAGAAGCTTACAATCCCCTTCAGATATTCTGGCAGAAAAGGTGGAAAGAGTCTTAGGACATGATTGACCATGTTTCTGTCTGTGTGTGTGTGTGTGTGTGTGTGTGTGTGTGTGTGTGTGTGTGTGTGAGTTATTGTTAGAAGCAGCAGCAGAAGGAAGTGGCCAGATGTGGGCTGACCCCACAGTGTGTGTGGGTGTGTGTGGTGTGTATAGGTGCCAAATGTGTGATCCGTCGAGGCCGGCGCTCTGGTTGCAACGATATATATAGAAGTGAACTGGGTGACAAGTGCACCACAAAGCACTAACACATACACCACAATACAGTACAGAGCAAAGCACTCAGAGAGAGAGAGAGAGTGTGTGTGTGTGTGTGTGTGAGAGAGAGAGAGAGAGAGAGAGAGAGAGAGAAAGAATGAGATAGAGTGTGGGGCAGCAAGACAGAGGAACATAAAGGGAGAGGAAGAACATAAAAAAGAAAGAGAAGGAAGAGAGAAGAGAGAATGAAAAGTGACAGAGGGACACAGAGAAGGAGAAAGAGAAAAAGAAATGAGAAAGAAGGTGGAGTGAGGGAGAACAAGAAAGAGAGTGGAGGAGCATTAAAGAGAAAAAGAGAGAGAGGGGAAGATGGAGTGAGGGAGGAAAGGAAAGAGAGACAAAGAACCAGAAATAGAGAGAGAAGAGCCAGAGAAAAGAGAGGGAGGACATGGAGAGAGAAAGTGGAAAGAGGCAGACAAAGAAAGACAGAGGAAGGGAGAGAGAGAGAGAGAGAGAGAGAGAGAACAAAAGAGAGAGGAGAGAGAAAGAACAAAAGAGAGAGGAGAAAGAAGAGAATGTGAAAGACAGAGAAAGGTACAGTGAGAAACAGAAAAAAGGATAAACAAAAGAAGACAGATAGAAAAAGAGGTGGAAAAAGAAAGAATAAAAAACAGAAAGAGAAAGAAAGGAGAGAGAGAGAGAGAGAGAGAGAATAGGAGAGAGAATAGGAGAGAGACAGAGAGATGAGTGAGGAGAAAGAGAGAAAGTGATATGAAAGATAGAGGAAGAAAGCATGAGAGAAAAAGGACATGGAATCAGGAAGAAAAAGAATGAAAGACAAACAGAGAGACAGAGAGAGGAAAGGGACCATGAGAGTAAAAGGTAATAGAGGAGAGATGGAGAGAGACACTGAGCGAGGTTTGAGACATTAAGGGAGAGACAAAGAGAGAAAAGGAGGGAGAAGACAGAGTGAGGGAGAAAAAGGAAGGCAGAGGACATGGAGAGAAAGGAAGAAAGAGGATAAAAAGAGGGAGATAAGAGAGAGACAAAGGAAGGGGAAGAGAGAGAAAGAAATAGTGAAAGAGTTCATGCAAGAGTGAACTCCACTGAATAGAAGTCTGGTGCATTCAGTCTAAGCATAAAGCCTCGACCCCAGTGTGAAGCTGCACACTACAGTTACGGTACAACCACTGACTTCCAAAGGAGCTGCAGAGAGAGAGAGCGAGCGAGAGAGAGAGAGCTGCACACACAGTACAGCGAGCACGCATCACTGTGTAGCTACTTACCATAGTACTCTATTCTGTGGCCTAACAAACCCAAGTGAGAGAAGACAATGTCAGTATCAACAGCTGTTGTTTTTAGTTTAGTTTAGTTTACAACGGGGGTGTCACTAGAGATGTATGAATAGGGGGGTACGTTTTATTGGAAGGTCAGGGGCATACACCCCAAGTAGAAACAAAAAGGATCTATTCTTCATGTATTTCTAGATTAGTTCTAATAGTAGGTGTAAAATTAGCCAAAAATATTGCAATTTGGTCAATTTGGCACTGAGTAATATGGCTCCTGAAACCTTAATAGCTAGCTCTACTGATGTATTTTGAATAAGGCCTAATATTCTCTTTAGTATGCTTTTAACCAAAATTCTGTCACAACTGAGTATTTTTGAAACAGAATTTTTGCCTTGCCTTCATTAAGTTTAAAAAATGCTATTCATCAAGTTAACGATGGGCAGACAAGTTAGCAGCTTATCTAGAGTAATGATGTCATCTAATTATGAAACCTGACTCCATGCCTCTTTATAATGTGACCTAGAGGCAACATTTACAAAGAAAAGTGGGCCAAGAACAGAGCCTTGTGGCACACCACAGGGAATATTATGTTTATCTGAGACATGTTTACACAGACTAACAAAATGTTATTTACCAGTTAGATTTGGATAGAACCAATTTAGTTTCTACTAGCACTACATATAGTCTTAATAATGTACCCTTGCATGTGTAGTCTGTTCACACGAATAAAGTTATTTAACTAATCCTTGGTCTAACACATTCTCTATTAGTTGTGTATTGTGAGCTGTACAGGGAGTGGTGACAGTGGCTGCCTTTGCCTTGCACAGCAGCCAAGGTAGCACTGGATTACAGCCTCCCCAGGTCTTAGTGCTCTGATATCTCCATCTATTCCCCTAAAAGTCCCCTTAAAACTGGCCTAGCAATAGTCCTGACATTTGAATTATTATGTTTTACAGAACACAGCATATAACATTTTAATACCCTTACAAGACTGAAATCAGGGCATTTATTAGAGCATTTATCTGTTTATGTCTCTAGTTTAATACAAACATTAACATTTTGTGAATGTGGGGATATTTGTCTGCTATCTAGGAGGAAAAATGCTTTTACCCTAAAATTGCAGCTTTTATTAGAAGAAGTAAAAGAGGCCAAGGCTGATATTTTGGTTGCTGAGGCTAAGGTTAGAGTTGGGTTAGATGTAGTAACATTCAATGTCTTACAGAACCACATGGAGTGTGTGTCTGTATTTTTGTGTGCACACTTTGCGTAGGACTACAGCCAGAGATGTGACTCATCTATAATGGCAGTCTGCAAAAGGCTTTTCCACCAAATCACATTCAGGGGTCATTGAAATAACAGCAAAATTGAAGTAATTGTGGCTTTTTCAGTAGCTCAAGTGAACTGTAGAGATTCGATTAGCATACTGTTTTTGTTTCCTTTTTATCTGCCCTCCACGAGTTCTGTTTATTTAGCATTTCGACTGCTAATTTCCTGCCACACTGTCCCTGAATGTATTGGAATATCTGGACTTTCTGTAACCTTCAATCTATAGTTTGATAAAAAAAATCAAATGCACACATTTTTCCCCTCACCCTAAATGTGGTCAGTCATCTAAGAAATGTTTGGTGAACTTTACATATTTAGTTTGGCACTGAAGCTGTGGGCTAATGTAGCTAAAAAGCAATGAAAAATTTGACCCCACAGATTAGCATCAAGCAAACTGCATGTAGGTGTCGTGAAGGCTTATGAACAGCACCCTACAGTAAAGTGTTATTAACTTGCTTAGGTGCTTTCTGACACTGTATGCCATACTGTTACCTATAAAAGTGAATAAGTATATCATGTATACTGTATAGCCAAGGGTATGTGGACACCTTATTGGACAGCTCATTCCTAAACCATAGGCATTTATATGGAATTTTCTGCCCCGAAGTATATATTTATAAAAATATATAACTGTCAACAATGTTTTTTTGTATGCTGATGCATTAACATACTTTCACTGGAACTAAGGGGCCAAGTCCAACCCCTGAAAAACAGCCCCAGACCATTATCCCTCCTCCACCAAACTTTACTGTTGGCACTTTGCATTCCAGTAGGTAGTATTTTCCTGGTATCCGCCAAACCCAGATTAATCCATTAAACTGTCAGATAGTGTAGCGTGAATCATCAATTCAGATAACATGTTTTCACTGCTCCAGAGTCCAGTGGTGGTGTGCTTTATGCCACTCCAGCTGATGCTTGGCATTGCATATTGCATATGTTGCATATATAGATATAGTGATCTTAGGCTTGTGTGCAAGTCACTACCTGACTTGCAGCAAAAATAGTGTCCTATGGCAGTGCCCTGTTTAAAGTCACTGAGCTCTTCAGTATGACTCATTCTACTGCTAGTGTTTGTCTATGGAGATTGCATGGCTATGTCCTTGATTTTATACACGTTTTAGCAATGGGTGTGGCTGAAACACTTGAACCCAGTTATCAGGAGGGGTGTCCACATACTTTTGCCATATAGTGTAGCTATAAACAGTATGTGAAGCCATGAAGTCTGTACTTTTCTCTGCAAAAGCAAAGTCATTAAAGTCAGTGAGTGTGAATTCCTATTAATTTGCACTGAATGTGCAGTTTTGAGATCCTGCTGGCATTTGTAATTATTTCAGAGGGTTGTAATAGCTTGACATATTAATTAAAGCCACATCTCATTGCAGTTGTTAAATTTGAGTTTAAGTTTCAATGCATTGTCTTTACACAGAGGAAAAAGGACATGACATGAATGCTGGCTGGAACAGATAGTGATAGCAATAAAATAATTTAGTCAGTTCTAAAGGAAACAGGCAGGTAGTGAAGTGATGTTAAACTAGTCTCATTTGATCTTGTTTTCTGGTCTGTGTTAATATTTTATTGGTGCTGCAATGTGTAGCAATATACACACACACACACACATATATATATATATATATATATATATATAATATTAAATATGTGGCTAAAAAGTTAAATTAGAATCCATAATTGTACCATGATTACTAATTTCAGTTATTGTCTGCACAGCCAGATTTATAACTTTGTTATACACCATTTATATCTTTGCTTCATTATCAGTTACAAGCAATTTTGTCTTTTCTTCTTTTTCATTATCTGACATACTGACAACGTATGCAAAGAAAAAAAAAAGTGGGCCAAACACAGAGCCTTGTGGCACACCACAGAAATAATATTTTATCTGAGACATGTTTATAGAGAATAACTTTAACTTGAATCTATTCACACATAATACATATTATTGTCCCATTGTATGTGTGGACTGTTCACTTGAATAATGTTATTTAACGAATGCTGACACTCATACACACTATAACAGATGTATTTTGTGAGCAGTATGATAAAATCATATTTTCAACATATGGGAACTTAAAATATAAAGATTTCATGGGAAAGCTCTTACCTATTTTAGGTGTGTGTGATCCTGTCAGATCCAAATGGCTTGTGTAATCATGCTGATGGCTGTCTATTGGAGAGAGAGAGAGAGAGAGAGAGAGAGGCGGGGGTCAGATTCAAATAGTTTCCCTTTTCCAACACAGATGCAAGTGTCAGAGCAAAGTCCTTTTGCATTATCATGAAAATTATATATCTATTATTGTGTGATAAGGGAAATGGCAATGACTAAATTGACTATAAAAATGATGGATTATAATTGTATATTACTGCTAGGTTATTAGGTTTGGATCAAAACATCATTCATTTAAATACTAATACAAACTACGAAAAACAGGACTGTCTCATTTAAAACCTTTAACTGCCTCATATTAAACCTCCTACAAAATACAAAAGCCTGAGCTGCAAAGTACAAATCCGGAACTGCGTCATATAAAGCCTTATACAAAACACAAACCCTGAACTGCCTCATATTAAAACTTAAACAAAACACAAATCCTGAACTGTCGCATATTAAACCTTAAACAAAATACAAACCCTGAACTGCCCCATATTAAACCTTAAACAAAATACAAACCCTGAACTGCCCCATATTAAACCTTCTACAAAATACAAAACCCTGAACTGCCTCTTATAAAACCTTATACAAAATACAAAACTTAAACTGCCTCATAGAAAACTTTATACAAAATGCAAAAACTTGAAAAATTTCAATATATTGCACAAACAACCATTATTTTTTCTATATTTCATTACTGTATTGAAATTGTTACACACTTACAAGTATGATCATTTTGCAATGTTGCAAAGCTCAGTACTGGGATTATACAGGAGGAGAGGAAGTTCAATATGCGCGCAAGGCAAAATTCCAGAAACAGGTTAAGAGTTCAGTATGTGTCAGCACTTACAGGTACGTGACCCGGCTAATCTAGCTCATTTATTTTCACCCCCACGTTGCTCTTGGCAGTCACCAGTCATTACTGACTTTGCTGAGGGAGAAGAGCCACACTTATCACCGTAATCATGGTGCTCCATCACTCGCCTGTTCCCTCTCTCACAATCCCAGACAGATAAAACATCTGCTTTTGACTTTAAACATGAAATAAAGGTGTCATTTCACACTGTGCTCTACTTCAGTGTTTCTCATCCTAGTCCCATCCTAGAACACATAACTCTGTGGAAACATCCGGTGGGCCCCAGATGGGCGGGTGGGTTGAGAAACACTTCTCTACATGACTTATTGCTATACATTTGGCTTGTTGTAGGTACCATGATCAGATAATAAAAATAGGAACAGATAACAATAGATGAGATAGTAGTAGTATAGACTAGGTTAGTAGTATTCATTGATATTTTATCTTATCTGATCATTTTAACAATACGAAATATATACTCAGTTAGTTCAAACTGATGTCCTACACTAACAGCTGCACTATTTGAGGTGGAATGGCAATTTGAAAAAGAAGCTCACATTAGCCTTGAGAGATTAGTGTACAACAATGCGGCGACGGTGTGAATCTGGTACTGGCTGACACAACAGGCACTTTTTATATGTGAATCATGTAAAATGGACAGCAGTGGCAAAAAAACAAAAGTGGTGCCATGAAGACTAGAATGAAAAAAGTACTTAAGGAGGATGAGGACGTATCCGAGCAGGTGGGCAGTGCGAAACACTGACTTTAGCTTACTTGGCTAGTATGATTATGATGATGTCATGACAGTCAATATGCTTTCACCAGCTTTCATTTTATCAGCTACCCCCTCAGTGATCTCAGTGTCACTTGTAAATAATATATAAGAGATAAAAGAAATGAAGATGAAATTTTAGAAAACATTATTTTACACAAAAGCAATGCTGTGTGTTTGTGTGTCTGTGTTGCAGGAGAAATACAGTTAGAGTTTGGGTGTGCTGTTCTGCACCGTGTAACTCCTAGTCTGAAAATAAATCCCACTCCAGTCCTCTTTGAAGGTCTGCTTCTTAACAATTAGTTAACTATTAACAACCACTTAATAATGCAGTAATAAATAGAAACAGATCATTTGTAAGCAAGCTTAGCTTAGTAAGATATTGTGTAAATGTATAATTAAATGTTTGTTCACAAATTAGTAAAATATTAATTGAAATTCTTCAGTAAAAGCTTAAAAGGAAGCTTTTTTCCTTATGAAGAGCCACCAAATGTCCCCACAATGTCAAACATTTCCATGTTTTCATCATTTTGCAAACATTTGGTCCCCACAAAGAGCTAAATACTAAAAGCCAAAGTGAGGCATAGTGAATGCAATAGAAACTAGTCTCTGTGCTTACAATATTACTGTAACGCAAATACAATTCTTCTCATTCAAATCAGTAGCAGAACAGTTCTGAAAGAAGTAAACAGTAAAAGTAAAGAACAAAGTTGCAGCATCTTCACAGGTTTCCTCTCTGACTGGACCACCTGGAAAGATATTTAAGGTTTAAATAATATCCAATACTGATTCTTAATTATACCTGATACTTTCTTCATGTTTTCTGGTTGAACTTACTCAGAGGATCTGCTGGGATGTTCTCCTCCACCTCACACTCCTTCAGAGACGTGTTCTCCTCCCTCTCCCTCTTTTTGGCCTCCATTACTACTCCATCCTCCTCCATCATCTCTGCTTTCTCTTCCATCTCCTCATCTCTGATTTGATCCTCCTCCTCCAGCTCCACCCCCACTTCCTCATTCACAGCCACTATCTCCACTTCCAACTTCCTGCTTCTCCATCCTACTGTGCTCCTCTTCTACCTTCACCTCCATCACTCTCACCTCCTCCATCAACACCTTCTCCTCCTTCTCAGCATTTATCTGCCTCTCCTTCATCAGACTCCTAACCTCCTCCTCCACATTTCTCCTCCCTTTCTTCTCTTTCTTTATAAACTTTTTCCACTTAGTGCGTTTTGTGTTCTTAAGGTGGCGAGGTTCATTTAGCTTGTCTTCATCAGTTTGCGGACGAAAGCAGCAGAGCAGCATTGTGACAGCAGTTTCCTTCAGTGGTCAGCAGCCAAATGACCAGAATCTGACTTTTGGAAGTTTCACTGAATGCCAGAGTTCCAGAACCTGTTTGTGACATCACTGACTTTACTAATGTCACAGCATTTTATTGTGGTGTGTCTATCACAATACATTTTTTTTACCACTTAATTACTGTTGCCATGTTTATGAATAAAATTAAATGAAATGTTACCTTTATTTTATTATGCACTGACAGGCTAACTTGATCACACCTTGTATGATCACTGAAACACAATAAACAGTTAAAGTAAATGTATGAAATAGACTAATGCGTGTTTATAATTTCTAGATCCTCCTCCAGCCTTGATGAACATCTCTAACCACTTTGTTAGAGTTTCAAGTATCTTTAAATGACCTAAAGCAGGAATGAGCAGCTTTGATGAAGGTGACTTCCTCACTACTAGAGAACAAACTACTTTCCTCATCCAACATTTCCCATTTTCCTCAAGGCTTATATGATAATGAGTGGGGAGTATCTTAAATGCCTGGCATAATATCTGATAATCACTATACATAACAAGCATTCCACTATTATAGTCTGTGCAATAATGCTACCAAATTCAGTCAGACTTTAAATTGAAATCTTTACCTAAACTGCAGCATGTATGTCTTTTTATTCTTGTCAGCTGTTCATGTTTAAGGGGGAATCCAGATATCTCTGAAAAATTTTGAATAATTAAGTCTCTGATAAAAAGCCAGTCAGAACAAAGATCATTTACATGTAGCAGTCTTAAACAAAGATTTTGGAAAATGGTCATGTAATAACGGACTATGACTCACTTTGATGAGAAAAGCACAGATACTGGAAGCTCTTCGGTTGATCTCAGATTTTGCTCTGTCAGCTCACCCTACTCAGCCTGAATTTACTTTTTGACCCTTAGGTGTCCTTATGCAACGATGCACTCAAACTCTGAGGATCCGCTGTATGAATATTTAATAACACATCTCTGATTTGCATGCTAATAAGCTAATTTAGTGTCTCATAAAAGTGCTAAACACACTGACAAAATAAATGATGCAGTCTGGTTGGCCTCTAAACACTTCAGAACTCTTAATTTCGGGTGAAGCGGGAGGGGAACGTTGAGGGGAAGAGCTTCTTGAGGGGCTTATAGAGTTTATTACTGCAACTCCACCCTGGGTTACAAGGCTTTTGAGGATGAAGTGTAGTAGAAATATCTTCTCTTCCATTTTCCTAAACAGTAATCTAGAAACACTGGCTGAAAACGAGGTATGACATTGAATTTAACCCTTAAAAATAATGGATATCACTAGAGATTACAGAAGGTGTTGTAGTTTCCTCTTATTTTTCACTTAATTCACTGAAACAAACAGAAAATTTCAGTGAAAAGTGCAGATTGTAGACTTTTACGCATATTATATAAGCTGCTTATCCTCCTGAGTCATGGGGAGTGCTGGAGCCTATCTCAGCACCCATTAAGCAGAAGGCAGGAAACACCCTGGACAAGCCGTCAGTCCATCATAGGGCAGGCACACAGACATATACATTTACACCTAGGGGCAATTTAGCATTTCCAATTTACCCACGCAGACACAGGAAAAACATGCAAAGTCCACACAGTAAGGTCCCTGGTTGCCTGACTGGGGAATTGAACCCAGGCCCTTCTTGCTGTGATCAAACAGTGCAACATTGAAAAATCACGAAATATCAAAATCAAATCACTTCATAGTAACACTGTAATTCAGCCCTCTATTAAAATAGTATCACATTCTATTGCAGTAACATTAAGATAATGTCAATTTTCAAAAATGTGTCACATCATTTTTCATTTTGTAGTGACTTTGAAATTTTGCGAAGTATTGAAATAAAATCACGACATGTTGTAGTAACACAGAAATATCAGCAAAAATTGAAAAGTGAATCACATCAAATTGTAGTAATGTTGATATAGCCCAGAGATATTTGAAATTCTTGCTGTTTCTGTAGCAGTTATGGGTTTTAGGGGGATAGGTTGCTAAGCTGAAACCCTATCCTATTCCTTTCTCATCCAGGCTTGGGATCGGCAATGCAAAGAACCATCAG